CGAAATGAGGGGAGACAACACAGGGTTGAAATTTTTAAACATACGAGTTGCTTCAAGGTCGCTTGATTATCGTTAATCTGAAAACCGCAATATAGCAAAATAACGTAAGGTGTAATTAGCAAATAGATCAGGTCAAAAGTTCTGAAATCAAAGGCTTAAAGTGTAAGCAATATCTAACAGGTATTATAATAATGATGAAAGCTGGAATGAAAGTACTAAAGCATATTTGGGCTATTTTAAAGAATGTGAAACCTTCAAGGATAAATTAAAAGCAATCTATAGACAAAACAATATGCTTAGGAAGTGCTCTTATTAGGCATACAAAAGCAAAAAAAAGCAGAAAGCGTATGGATGCGTATAAGAGTATGGTGCTGTAAGGACCTCCTTGTTAAAAATGAATGGTGATAGAGTATATTTAATAAACTAGTACCACTGGAGAAATGGAAATGGCTAAATTATATTCACTTTTCTTTGATGGGATTGTAGGTTTCCAATAGAGCTGAGACAAAGCCAGTATAAAAATGGGATCTTAAGAAAGAAAACTGAAGGCTTTTACGTTAAAACATCAAGGAAAGCTGAGTGCATGGAATATGCATTAAGGATATTGCAGGTGCTACCACTTATATAAGGGAAAATATGTAAATATGTAAATCCTGTCACTCCATGTCATATAAGGTTTAGGTAAAGACTCTCCATAGCTTATGCACTGAAATATTATTAATTATCAAGCTCTTATGCTTTCCTCTGGATGGGATTTATGTATTACCGTTAAATTGTGCCTACACACTTTCATTTGAGCACAAAGTATTAGTTTTTCAGATGTATCCATAGCTTATCATATTCATTTATTTCCTGGAAGTACAAAAAATCATTAAGATGGCCAAGATATGGCTTCATCTATTGTTAATTAGGATAATTGATAAAACTTATTGTTTTTAACCAACTCTAAAGAGGTATAAAAACTTAAATAATGCTATCGGAATTATTTTTCGAGATCATATTCTTAGGTTAGATTATAATTTTGAATCTTCTGTCTACAATCCTTAAGACAGATTCATGAAAATCATAAGTATATAGAAGTATTGGTACGCTTAGGCACCTTAGAATGGAGTCTGAAATACCTCCTTTAGAGCAGTCTTCGATTGGTTGGTCTTCTCACCAAGTAGCACTTGCAAATCGCGATGTAGCGACTTTAATTGTACAAGTCGTCGCCTGTAATTCATTTCAGCTGTAGTTGCTCTATTAACATTGGCTCCGACCTGGCTACCAGCTCCGTCTACAGTTAAGGTGTCCATCCCACCTGACGACTCAACAACAGTATTTTTACTAACACCTGACTCGGAAATAGCTGAGGAGAGCATCCAAACAGCAGAAGTGGCAGCTGTAGCCACTTTAGTCACCTCCGACATACTCGAGGGGAGAATTTGGCCAGAGCGACCCAGCGTCTCGAAGTCAGGGTGTGCATGCGTCTGAAGGCCAGCGGAGACCAAAGAGTCCAAAGGATCAGCTGAGCTGCCGTTAACATGGGCCTTAGAAAAATTTTATGATAGGATGCAAATATATTATTAAGTTTGGTTTAAAGTGACACGAAGCATAAATCTAATAAATATCTAAATAAAATATATTGTAAACAAAAACGAAAATATGGAAACAGGACTTGAACATCTTCATAACCCTAAGTTTTCATGCATACTTATTTAAATTTACTGCTGTTTATTATCATTGTAGATAGATTTAGCGACCAATACTTCGCATGATAAACTTAATAAT